ATGATTTGTTCTTGATGACTCCTTTAGATGCTTACAAACTTATTGTTAAATAATTTGTTCCAGTATCTTGCCAAGTATTGAAGGTAGGCTGATTGCTCTGTAATTCCTTGGTCCTCTTTGCTCCCCCTTTTAAAAGACAGGAACTATGTTTTCCCTTTCCTTGTCTTCTGGACCTCACCCATCTTCCAGGAGTTAAAAATAATTCCAAGATTGGTTGGGTTAGGACCCGAAGATGCATTTCAGAAGGCTTCACTGCCTTAAATACATCTAACTCATCTTTTACCATTTGGCTTGGATGCCTTTCCCCTTGTCATTAATATTAAAGACATATCTGGTCATACCATGACCCTGTACACATCTCAGCTTTTTTGATGCCACCATTTGTTAGCTTTTCCTTCATCACTAAGTAGAGGGCCAACACTTTTCTTTGTCTTTCTTTTAGGCTATGTCTACACTGGCAGCTTCTTGCGCAAGAACTGTTTTGCAGAAGAGTTCTTGCGCAAAAAGTCTTCCACAAGAGCACATCTACACTGGCATGTGCTTTTGCGCAAAAGCACATGCCAGTGTAGATGTGCTCTTGTGGAAGACTTTTTGCGCAAGAACTCTTCTGCAAAACAGTTCTTGCGCAAGAACTGTTTTGCAGAAGAGTTCTTGCGCAAAAAGTCTTCCACAAGAGCACATCTACACTGGCATGTGCTTTTGCGCAAAAGCACATGCCAGTGTAGATGTGCTCTTGTGGAAGACTTTTTGCGCAAGAACTCTTCTGCAAAACAGTTCTTGCGCAAGAAGCTGCCAGTGTATACGTAGCCTTAGTGTATTTAAAGAATCTCTTTAAATACATAAAGACCTTTTATGTTCTTTGCTAAGTGTAAGTTATTTTGTGCCTTAGCCTTTTGTCCTTACATGCTTATGCTATTATTTTGTACTACTCCTCAGCAATTTGTCCATGTTTCCACATTTTGTAGGGTTTTATTTTGATTTTCAATTTATTAAAGAGCTTTTTATTAGGGCTGTTGATTAATCACAGCTAACTCACCCGAATAACTCAAAAAGTTAATTGTGATTAGAAAAATTAATCATGATTAATCATAGTTTTAATAGCACTGTTAAACAACAGAATGCCAATGAAGTTTATTAAATATTTTGGATGTTATTCTACATATTCAAATATATTGATTTCAATTACAACACAGAATACAAAGTGCATAGTGCTCACTTTGTATTATTATTTTGGATTACCAATATTTGCACTATAAAAATTATAAAGAAAAGAAATAGTACTTTTAATTCTCCTCATACAAGTACTTCAGTGCAATATCTTTGTTGAAAAAGTGCAACTTACAAATGCAGATTTTTGTTGTTACATAACTGCACTCCAAAACCAAATCATGTCAAACTTTAGAGCCTACAAGTCAACTCAGTCCTACTTCCTATTCAACTAAGATAAACAAGTTTGTTTACATTTGTGGGAGATAATGATGTCCATTTCTTATTTAAAATGTCATCTGAAAGAGAGAAAAGGAATCTTCATGGCACTTTTGAAGCTGACATTGCAAGATATTTATGTGCTAGACACGCTAAACATTTGTATGCCCCTTCATGTCTTGGCCATCATTCCAGAGGGCATGCTTCCATGCTGATGATGCTTGTTAAAAAATAGTGCATCAATTAAATTTGTGACTGAACTCCTTGCAGAAGAACTGTATGTCTCCTGTTCTGTTTTACCTGCATTCTGCCATATATTTCATGTTATAACAGTCTTGAATGATGACCCAGCATGTTACTTATTTTAAGAACTTCTTCACTGCAGATTTGACAAAATGCAAAAAAGGTACCAATGTGAGATTTCTAAAGACAGCTACAGCACTCGACCAAAGGTACAAGAAGTCTTAAAAAAGCAACACTCTGATGCAGCAACTAAAAATGAAAATCAACTTTCTGCTGGTGGCATCCGACTCAGATGATGAAAATGAACATGTGGTGGATTGCACTACTTTGGATCATTATCAAGCCGGACCTGTCATCATCATGGACACATGTCCTCTGGAAGGGTGGTTGAGGTATGAAGGGACATATGAATCTTCAGCATATTTGGCACATAAATATGTTAAGATGTTGGCTACCACATGGCCATGCAAACACCTGTTGTCACTTTCAGGTGACATTCTAAACAAGAAGCAAGCAGTATTATGTCCTGCAAATGTAAACAAACTTGTTTATCTGAGAAATAGGCTGAACAAGAAGTTGGACTGAGTGGACTGATATAAACTCTACAGCTTCTGCTTGTTTTATTTTGGAATGCAGTTGTTTTTGTGCATAATTCTACATTTATGGTTCAACTTTTATGATAAAAAGATTACACTACAGTATTTGTATTAGGTGCATTGAAAATGTGATTTCTTTTGTTCTTACAGTACAAATATTTGTAGTAAAAATAAATATAAAGTGAGCACTGTACACTTTGTGTTCTGTGTTGTAACTGAAATAAAAATATTTGAAAATGCAGAAATCTTCCACAAATATTTTAATAAATGGCATTATATTATTGTTTAACAGTGCAAATAATTTCAATTTTTTAAAAAATTGCTGACAGCCTGACTTCTTACAATTCTTCATACCTTTCCTTTTCATTGGGTAGTTTGCAATTTTGCCTTTAATATTGTTTCTTCTAAATATTGCCAGCTCTCTTCAACTCCTTTTTCCCTTGGAAGTTTCCCATGGGACCTTAACTACCAGTTCTCTGAGTTTGTTAAAGGCTTCTTTTTTGAAGTCCATTGTCTTTATCCTGCTCCTCTCACTCATTCCTTTCCTTAGAATAATGAAATCTCTCATTTCATGATCTCTGTCACCCAAATTGCCTTTCATCTTCAGAATCACTACTAATCTGTGATAGAAATGTAGCCGTGTTAGTCTGGGTGTTCTTTCTAATTCTTCCCACATATGTGCAGAATGAATTTTGATGTGTGTACCAATAGGGAGGTGATATGTCACACATCACCTTCATATTGGCACGTATAACAAAATTCATGTGCTGGGGGAGGGCTGAGGGAGTATGGGAGGGGGCTCAGGCCTGGGCAGAGGTTACTGTGAAGGCTCCAGCAGGGGCATGGACTCTTGGGTGGGGCCAGAAATGAGAGGGTTAGAGCTGGAGCAGAGGATTGGGGTTGGGGAGTGAGGGCTCCATCTCGGGGTGTGAGCTCTGGGGAGGGGCCAGGGATGTTGGGTTTGGAGTGCAGGCTGCCCCAGGGCTATGGTGGGTAGAAAGGATTCCCTCTAGCTCTCTCTCCTCATAGCAGCACCTGGGTTGCAGAGAGGGAGGGGGAGGAGAGGGACCTCTCCCACTACAGCAGCTCCGGGGCTGGAGCCATGGGATAGGGTTCTCCCTGCCCCCCAGCCACAGCAAGTCAGTGGCTGAGCTAGGTTGGGATTGGGGAAGAGTGCCTGTCCCTCTGGCCACAGCAGATCCACCTGGGCTGGATTCCCTGAGTGCCTGTGTGGTGCTTAATAGGCAGCCACACAGCTTATAGAGAACCTAGCTACCAATTCCTCCTTGGTCAGAATCTAGAGACCATCCCTGACAAGTGTTTGTTTAACCTGCTCTTTAAAAAAATCTCCAGCGATGGAGATTCCCCAACCTCCCTAAGCAATTTATTCCAGTGCGTAACCACCCTGACAGTTAGGAAGTTTTCCTAATGTTCAGCCTACACCACTGTTGCGGCAGTTTAAACCCATTGCTTCTAGTCCTATTCTCAGAGGTTAAGGAGAACAATTTTTCTCCCTCCTCCTTGTAAACCACCTTTTATGAACTTGAAAGCTGCTATCATGTCCCCTCTCAGTCTTCTCTTTTCCAGACTAAACAAATCCAATTTTTTTCAGTCTTCCTTCATGGTGAAAGAGCTGTCTGGATACAAGTGTCATGATAATAACATCACAGAACAGTTGAAATATTCTGTTGTTTAATTTTTAAATTCATTAAGGTCAGCTTCTACTTAGCACTGATTGAAACATCTCTTCTCGAGCGAAGCGACTCCTCCTCTTTGTTTTGCAGCGAAACAGTGTGACACTTGGAACATTTCAGCTATGTCATATTACAGCCTGCCTGTTGCCATGCATGTTGCTGCCGACATGTAATGACAGAATGTAAAAATAATAAAAATATAAAAACAGAGAAATTTGGAAACAAAATTTCTCTCATACATGACTTTTCAAAGCCACCCACTTAGCCAGTGCCAAAGGGCCACATAGCCTCCTACAGCTTTGGTGGGGTGAGGAACCCACAGATTTGGTGGATCCAAGCTCCTTCAATCCTTGTCTACAGAGGAAGGACTGTCAGGAAGAAATCACCTTTCCTTGCTTTTCTAAACGGAGGAGGAGCAACTCTGCAGCATCCAACATTACTCCACTATGGGGGGTGGACAGGAGACTGGATGGGACCACTGGTCTGATGGAGCCCAGCAATTCTCAGCTCCTTCTACAAAAGGGAGGCTGCAGCAGCCCCCGGGGTAAGGCAATAGCAGCTGAGCTCTTTGCAGCTACCCACGTCACAACTAGTTTGTGATTTTTATGCTGACACAGCCTCCCTCAAGGCTGCTGTTGTCTTTTTCCAGCTTTCTCAAAGCTGCTGCCAGCCAGGAAAGTCCAGACATCAGATGAAACATGCCAAGCTCAACCAGCCAGCTCTCCCACGCCTATTGCTTAGCCTGCTACCCTTTCTCCTTGGTATCTCGGTCCTGGGCACCTGGGCAGCTCTGCCAATGCCTTTCTGTCCTGATCCAGACACTCCCCCATATCGTGTTGCTGTCACAAAGCACTGCCAATGCACCTTGTTCCTGAGCTACAGCAAGAGACTAGAAATCCCTGCTAACTGGGCTTGTCCTAGGTCGAGTCAATACAGTGGTCTTAGTTCACTATGGATTAAGCTACAGAGAACTAAGGCCACTTTCCTTCTGAATGAGAACATCTGCACAGTAGCTAAACGCACCTGAACTAATGCACTTTAACTTCACCTCTTGTGTTAGTTCTCCTTAGCTTCCCTGAGTGTCCCTGTGTAAACAAGCCTTGAGACACAAGCCGGGGCCAGGGTGGCTTTCAGGAGTTCCCTTGGCTTCCCAACAAAGTGGAAGTTGGGTCTGTTCTTTTCTGGAACTCAAGGGGGAAAAGAGAGTTCTTTTCTGGAACGCTCATTTAATTGGTAGCAAAGTGTAGGCTTAGAAGAGACTAAAGATACAGGTTGACTGTGTTTTACACCCTTTTATCTAATGCTTTGTTCCATGCACTAATACAAATAGAAAGACAAGGTGGGTGAGCCTGTTGGTGGGAGAGGCCTAATAAACACCGTTGTTGTTAGAAGGCCGTTGGTCCCTGTAACAAGGGAAGAGATGCAGGTGTCCAGTCAGACCTGCAGGGCGATGTGTGTTGTACCCAGATCCCCAGTACAAGAGTGGGAGAACTGTGAGATGCCATTCAAAGCTAGGTATGGGCAAAAGGTCAAACACCTGAGAGGGGGCCGAACACCTTAGCGCAGTGGTCCCCAATGCTGTGCCTGCAGGTGCCATGGCACCCACCAGGGCATTTATGTGAGCCCGCCTAGTGACCAGGGCCGGCCCGAGCCATTCTTGGGCCCCGGACGCCCGGTGCATGCGCCTCACCCCGGGCACGTGGCGCATGCGCCGTGCAGCCCCCAGGCACACGGAGCATGCGCGGAGCACGTGCAGTGCTGCTCCCGGGCGCCCAGCAGCCCCAAAAGGTTGGGGACCACTGCCTTAGCGAGTCCAGAAAGGGAACTATGCCACTTAAAACACATTGTGATCTACAGCTGAAAAGCCCTGTGTAAGTGCTAATAATGAATTATAATAATAATGACAGCTACCATTCAGCATCATTAATATTCATTCACTTGCATGTCCATCACTCTTACATTTACAGCAGCCATTCAAAGCTGGCTATAGCTGCACAAACTCACTACACGCAGGCCACTGAACAGAGATCAGATGGTAAGGCCTTTCAGTCATCACTGCCTCAAGGGCAGATTAGAACCAGTAACCTAGATATGAAAGTCGCCTTCTCCCCTCCCTCCGCCTTCCTGTTCTTTGTCTGAATGGCATCATGTAGTGAGGAGTGGAAACATTCAACCACTATAGAGCCAGCCTCTAGGAACAACTGCTATTTAATACCCAGTCAATTCATCTATAGCCTTACCGGGTATCTCCTTCCATTTAATAAGGGCCTGATCCTGGTCTCATTTAGATCAATGGCAAAGCCCTCCACAGTCCAGATTGCACTACAGCCCCCTGGCACTGCTCTGACAATGCAATTACACATACACACACTGTAAGGTCCCTTTTACACTGCCAGGGTGGAGTAAAGAGATCTTAGTGGGCAAATCAGAATCCGGCACGCCACTCATTCCTGTACACCCCTGAAAAAGCAAGCGGCTATTGTTTAAGCCAAAACTCCACGTGGCTTGCAGACATGAACATCCGTTAATTCAGACCTAAAGAAATATCATGGTTAATCATTTTTCTCTAGACAAGATGCCTTTTCATTTTTATCTAGGTCCCAGAGTTACCAGGGGGCCATTTATTCCAGCATGTACGTCCATACAATACCACTAATGTATAGTGCAGGGCAATCCAGTCTAAATCCGTGCACAGCAACACTAGGAGGCCACAGGATCAGCTTGTCTCTTTCCCCACTAAAGAAAGGTTTTCTCAAATGGGGCAGAGAGACTTATACCAGCTCTTTGGGGCTGCTAAATTCTCCCCTGAGCCAGCCTTCCTCTAGTGCACCTGGGGAGCCCGCAGTCCATCTCTCTCCAATCTGAGTGAAATCTAGCATGCTGAAGCCTCACTAGAAAGGAGGCAGAACTATTAGGTCACCGCCCCCTCCCCAGCTGCAGCAGGGAGGTTTCTCTGTTCTCTAGGTTGGAATGGTTCAGTAGATGAGGAGATCCTATCCCTCCCCTGGAACGCTGCCCCCGGCGCTGACAGCTCTGACCTGAAGAAGAGCTCTGTGCATGCTCCACAGCTTGGCTCTCCCTCACCGGATGAAGTTGGTCCAGTACAAGAGGTTGCCCCACACACCTTGTCTCTCTAAGATCTCCCCCTTGAGACATTTCCACGGATCATGCCCTGCCCTGGCCTAGTCCTCAGGAGAAAGCCTTGCTGCCCTCTGCCCCCACATCAGCACACACCTCTCTTCCCCATGTGCCCAGCTCCCCAAGCCCTGAGCTGCACTTAGACTCTCATGTCCCAAAGGGTTTGTTGCACAGCTGGGCCCTGCGGCAGCCTGGAAGAGTGCCGTGCTCTGAGCCCCATAATCACGGGTTCCCAATCCCCCACCAGCCTGGGGGCCGGGAGCTGTGTCTGGCTTTGGTTCCTTGCCTGCCCACCGAGTCCCACTCAGGTGCCTGGGGTTTAGAACAGGACATTCCTATTGCCCAGCGCACAAGTGTCCGCGACTAACAAGGGCCAAGCCAGCTGCAAAAGAGCTTGTGGTTTCTCCCACCCCTGGCCCACCAGCCGGGGTTCTTTCCCTTCCCTCTTTGATGATGGCTGTCACTGTCCCCCGCACAACCACCCCACTCTTTCATGGATACCAGAATTTTGCCGTTAAGAGAAAAAGGCACCAAGGAAACATTCTGCCTCCTCTCCCCCGCCCTCGGAGCTGCACTGGCAAGTCCCCATTCGGGGTGTGTGTGTGTATGTGTAGGGAGGGACCTGCCCACCACATCAGGGGATCCCTTCAGCATCCCTGAGCCCTGGCAAAGCCATGCGAGTGTGCAAGCATCAGCATGGACACCTACCTTTGAACATGAATTTTTCTTTGTCTCTGAATATGCTCCCAAGGGGTGGCTTTCCCCCTCACTTTCCTCTCCTGACACGGGTGCAGTGTGGCTTGGTCAGAGGTTTTGTTTTTTCTTTCTCCTCTCTCTTTTTCTCTCTCCTTCACTAGATGTTTCAGATAAGCAGGGATGCTGCTGCTGCTGCTGCTGCCGCTGCCAACATCCCTGCAAAATCTCCCCCACGCTATCCCTCCCTCCCTTCCTTGGATCCAAGCTTCATCCAAGCTGCTGCAAGACTCTGACTGGATTGGTGGGCTGGGGAGGGTGTGCTTACTGCTGGGGAGGGGAGGTGCTGTGATGAATGGATTAGATGTGCCCTGAATATGCTCTTCCCCCCTCCCCACACACACACTGCTTCCCTCCTCGCCTTTTCTATTCCCAGGTGGCTTTCACATGCTGTCTGTGGAGCATCTCTACCACGGCCACTTATGCAGAGAGATTTAACCCTTTGGCAGGCTGCTGAAGGGGTTTCACTAAGGAAGGCCTGAGAGCACGTTGGGGGATTTTAAGCATTTGGGGAGTGTCAACCCCTAGACCTGACTCCCAGCTCACCTACTCCAGGGAAAATCAGGAATCACGGTTTCTGGTTGTTGGCTAGAGGTGCAGAGATTGGGCCATTCTCCGTGTGGGGCAGGAGTGGAGAGAGAACCAATGTCTGTCGGCTAACGTCTGTGTGTCCGGCAGGGCAAGGAGAGATGTGTCTGTGTCACTCTGCACACACTGTGTATCTCTCCAGGTGCCTACAGGCATCTGTGTCTGTCTGGGTCTTTGTGCACATGTCACTGTGAATATATGCATGTGGCTGAAGATGGGTATCTGTGTGGATGTGACTAGCGTGCATCTCTGTGAGGGATGTTGGGTCTGGATCTCGGCTGTCTTCCTCCTGGTGTAATCCTGTGAAAAACTGGCCTGATTCTCTACTCTCCTGTGGTCTGTTTGCTCCTCCACTGACACACAAACCCATAGAGTGGCCAAAACCTGACACCCACCACCCCCTCTCGGGATGGGTATCAGCTGTGCGGCAGTGACACACAAACCCATACAGTGGCCAAAACCTGACACCCACAACCCCTCTCGGGATGGGTATCAGCTGTGCGGCACAGAGCAGCAGAACAATTCTAAGCCACTGCTCCTTGCAGCTTCTGATGCAAGGAAGTGCCGGGACAGAGATGAAGTGGGAGGGAGCCTGACAACACAGCTTTCCCCCTATTCACAGCTACAGGGCCATGGGAAGCCCAAATATGAGTTAGAACAGCCCCGAGGCTGCTCTAAGCTACACTGGGGCTGCACAAATATGCACTGTAAGCACTCCCCTAGGGGCCAAGCATGGTGTTGTAGGCCCATCCCTGCCTCCGTTTCCCCTCATTCAAGTTTTCTGTCTCTCCCAAGAATTCATATGGCTCAGGCCCCTAGCTCAGGATTCCACCCCCTTCTGGGAAAACAAAAATCCCAAGCAAACTAAAGGTTCTTCCACTCTCTTGGGCTCCTCTTCAGCCCATCACTAAGCTCAGCTCCCAGTCCCTTCTCCTTCTGAGTTACCTGTAAGTCTCTCTGGCTGTGGGATAGAGCCCTGACTTCCAGCCTCCTTCCCTAGAGTCTCCCTCACAGACTCATTCCCTCTGGGCTACCTTTCTCTCTTCTTTGCTCGGCACTAGCTCTGAGGCCAGGCCAGAGTCGGCAGCCTTCGACACACGGCCCTTCACGGTAATCCGCTGGAGGGCAGCCAAACATTTTGTTTACATTGCCTTCCCTCAGGCACAGCCCCCTGCAGCTCCCATTGGCCAGGAATGGGCAACTGTGGCCACTGGGAGCTGTAGATGTCATGCCTGAGACTGTCACTGTAAAAAAATGTCTTGCAGCCCCCAGCAGATTACCCTGATGAGCCACATACTGGAGATTGCTGACCCCTGTTCTAGATCCTGCCACAGGAGCCCATCTTGCCCCCTATGTTTTCTCCAAAGGGAATTATCTCAGCTCTTTTATGAGGCCCAGGTATTTAAGGCAGCCATCTGATCCCAATTGGTCCAGCACCATTAGGCTTTTATGCAACCAATTAAGGCAGAGTGGGCTCTTTGACCAGGACTGGTTGGCCCTTGCTTCTTGTCCTTTAAAGGAGCAGGCCGCCTGTCACAGAGGGTAAGAGGAAGTGCAAAGCTGGTATTGTTCCAGACTGGGCAGTGTCACACACAAGGATGGAGGAGCAGCACTGCAGGCCAGGGGGTGCAAAGTGGATTTAACACACTATCCAATCAGAAGGGCAGCACTGGTCACTGACTGTGCCCAGGAGCAAACAGCAGCACAAGAATGAGCCTTTTAAATAGCAGCTCAACATAGGGTTGCCAGACGGTTGAAACAAAAAACCCAAACACCCCCCCACCCCAAAATCTTCTCCTAGGTAGAGCAGCACTGCAGGCCAGGGGGTGCAAAGTGGATTTAACACACTATCCAATCAGAAGGGCAGCACTGGTCACTGACTGTGCCCAGGAGCAAACAGCAGCACAAGAATGAGCCTTTTAAATAGCAGCTCAACATAGGGTTGCCAGACGGTTGAAACAAAAAACCCAAACACCCCCCCACCCCAAAATCTTCTCCTAGGTAT